AGGAAATCCATGCCTGGCCTGTGCTCAGGGCCTGGGGCTCAGGAAGCTTTCAAGAAAGCAGAGGGGAAGACTAGCTTACTGCAAAACCTTTTAAAAAATATTCATACACTCCAATGAGCACCTGTCGAGATGTTAGAACAAGAGATTGGAAACATCCCGTCCAGGCCACTGGGAGGCAGCGTCTTCCTTGAGGTGCCCTCGGGGTGCAGGGGGAAGGTCCCGGCTCTTCCACTGGAGAAAGGAGACTCGCCTGGCTTTCTAGTTCATGTTTGACTCTTCCTCTAAAACCTGTGCTGAGTCTTGGACTGCATGCACGGGAAGCACAAACATTCGACTTGTATGCAAAAAAAGTACAAAAACAACTAGAATATCAAAGTTTTGGTAATATAAGGCCATCTGTTCAAGTCCACCTTGGAAACCTGTAACATATTTAAATACTACAGTGAAAAGGCATCTTAATATACTTTTTAAAAACATCTGAAGTAATCTGCTAAGATTAAGTGTGTAAAAAAAAAGTCAATTCCCTTTGAGGGCACTTTGTCCTTTGAAGAAGACAAGGTGGGGCGGGAGGGCACAGGGCCGGCGGGTTAATGCTTCAGCCATGGGTGGGCTTCAGTGGAAGCCTTGCTGCGGTCCCCATAGCCATACAGGAGCTCCTCCCCAGCCGCGATGTCTCGGGAGGCGATGAGATTGAGGTGAGATACACCATCGATGTCATGCAGTTTGGTTTGGCAGTTCCCACCTTTGCTGTGATTGATCAGTCTTCCTAGGCGATTTGTCTCTCTAGTTGCATCCACGCAGTAGGCTTTGCCCAGATACTGAAAATAGTACATGTAGCAGCCCGTGGAAGGGTCCTGTGTGTACAGAGCCTCCTGAAGGGTCCTGTGTGTACAGAGCCTCCCGCTTCTTGGCGCCGGCGATCTCAATGAGGTCCCCGTGGTCTTCCACCACAAAGTCACCCCGGGAGAACTGCTTGGTGGCAATCACACCCCTGCCTTTGCCACCGATGAGGTCAATCTTCATTCCTTCTTCCTTCCCACTTTCAATCAATTCATCTATTCTTTTCCTTTCTTCAGACTGCCGTTCAGCTTTGCTCTTCCTGGAGCTCCTTCAGACAGGGTAGAAATCCGTAAGTTTGTGATTCTGTTGCGTTTTTCCTTGGGCTTTTTTTCAGGGGTGTCTGTTTGCCCCTGATGGGCTTTTTCAGGGCTTGCTTGGTGACGGCTGCATTGGCGGAATCACAAGACGAAGGTGGAGTTTTTGGAGGTTCTGTTGCTTCAGATTTTTGGTTTGGAAAAGGTGCCAGGGGACCTCTCCTGGCATCTTTGATCTTCTGTTCCTCGGACTTCATGGCGCTCCGTACCGCGTTCCCAGCCTTTCTTTTCTCTTCTCCTTTCCTGTAGATTCTGGCTGATGGTTTCCCCTGGCATTTGACTTCGTGATGTGTAACTGAGTTCTCTTCCTGCAGCCCCGCCAGGCCTATCCGCGTTGCGCCCCCCGCCCTCGCCGCCGCCGCCGCCACCAGCGCCCCACGGCACCCCTTTCCCCCATGGCTGGCGAGGCAAGGCCCAGCACCGGCACACCGCGGCAGCCCGGGGCTGCCTGGAGGAGGCAGGCAGGGAGGGAGGCGCAGGCGGAGTGTCCCGACCTCATTCTTCTTGACAGGCTCAGGCGGAGGAACAAATGCAGCACCCCCATTCATTAGAAGTCACCCCTGTGTCAACCCCACCTGCCTTCCTCAGTCCAAGGCGAATGGCTGAGGTGGAGGGAAGTTCACCTTCCTGACCAGGAGCCTGACACCACCCGGCCACACTGGGAGGTGTCACCAAAATGGTGACAGCCTCGAGATGCTGTCGTTTGCATCTGGGCCCCAAAGGAGTCCCTTCTGTGATGGGCATGAGCCCAGTATTCCCACAATGACCCTGTGCAGGACAGGGCCTGAGGACAGGGCCAGGCTGCTCTGGCCATGAAGACGATGCCCTGCAGGGGACCCGAACACCGAAAACAGAGGGAGGGTGAAAGCCATGAACTCTGTGCTTTCAGCAAAGCTCCCCACACACCTAAGGGTCCAGGGCCTTTGTGATACTCAACCTAATCCTGTCACCATGGTCAATGACAATCCCAACCAGCTGAGCTGTCCCCCAACACAAGAGGGGTCCTGCCCACCCCAGATCAGTTCAGCTGGCCCATGCTCCCAGAGGGGGGACATGGCCCCTGCATGAATCCCTAATCCTCCAACAGTACTCTGCAGGATGTGTCTTCATGTGAGAATGTCCCTTGTTCCCGAGTGTCCTCAGGCCCACTGAAGTCTGGGCATGAGCAGCAGATGACCTTGGGGTGATGAGAGACCTCCTTCCTCTGAGCCTCGGGAGAGGACAGTCCCAGAGACTGACATGGGCAGTTGGAGGGAAGGCAACCTCACTCGGAGCTGCTCAGTGGAGCTGGGCTTGGGGCTGAGTGGACCCAGTGACCATTCAGAAGCTCTCAGACCACACACATCCTAGACCCTGGGCTGGCATGGATGGGGCCATCACATGCTTCCTCATCTATCACGTCCTTGGAGGTTGCTGAGCCCTGATGACTGATTGATGCCTGTGTAGATATAACCAGAACTGGCCAGGCACGGTGGCTCACACCTGCAATCCCAGCACTCCAGAAGATTGAGGCAGGAGGACTGCTTGAGGCCAGGAGTTCAAGACCACCCTGAGAAACATAGTGAGATTCCATCTCTACAAAAATAAACAAAATTTAAAAAGTAGGCTGGCATGGTGGCACGTGCCTGTAGTCTCAGCTACTGGGAAGCTGAGGCAAGAGAATCACTTGAGCACAGGAGTTCAAGGCTGCAGTGAGCCATGATCGCACCACTGCACTCCAGCCTGGGCAATAGAACAAGACCTCATCTCTGCAAAGAAAAGAGAAGGCCGCATGCAGATGGAGGCAGTGGCTGGAGTGACACAGCGGTAAGCGAATGAATGACAACAATTGCTGGCAAGCAGCAGAAGCTGAGAGGCAGGGAACAGGCCTCCTCCGGAGCCTCAGGAACCAGTTAGGAGCTGTGCCCCTCAAATGTGGGCTTCCGGCCTCCGGTGCTGGGACACCGTGCATTTCTGTCATAGCAAGAAACCCAGTCCCTGGCAGTTAGTTATGGACGCCCCAGGACACTCATCCAGCCGTCTGACAAGGGCAAGCTCCAAGGAAGGGATTCCCTCCTTATCTACGTTGTTTGAAGATTTTACAATAATTTACTCTTGTAGGGCTAATCATTGTTAACAACACAAACAAAACAGTAAAGAAATGACCTACATCTTCAGTTGGGAGTTTGGTCTGCCGCTTATCAAGTGTGGAATCTTGAACAAAAGTTAAACATCTAAATGTCTCCATCACGTCATCTGTAAAGTGGGGGTGGCACACCCAGGGGCTCACCTCCCAGGTTGGTGCTGGGCTCTCCCTGGGCCCCTGTTCTCTCACCAGCCACGTTCACTCTTCCCCCAAAGTGACGCCAGTGACTGTGCTGGCTTTCCAGTCTCTAACCCCAGCAGCAGATCGATGTCAGCAGAACACAACTGGGCCCTCCTCTCCTTCTCACACCCCTTCAGGGCTCCCTCACCACCCACCACCTCAGATGCAAGCTTCCAAGCCTTGCTGGATACCTCCATGTGCTGAGCTCCACCTACCTTCCCATCCCCAGCCTTCCCCACCCCTGGAGGAGAAGAGCTGAGTGTGTGGATGCTCTCTGAATGCTGAGCACGGCCTTTTGCAGACAGTCCACTCCTTACGCTGCCCCTATCGGGATCTCCAACCTAAGCCTTTCCAGCCTGGAGCCTCCTCCCAGGGCCCCACAACAGAAGTGACTTCCCTGTCCTTTGAATTCCTATAGCACAAGGCCTATGCCCCCCAATAAACTGCAAACTCCCTTTGTGGAAAAGAATTTTATTCATTATTGTGCTATCACACTGTCTTATGGAGGACAGATTGTCAATAAATGTTTGCTGAATAAAAGAATAACAGTTACAAAATGCTTGATTTATATGGATTAATACTGGTTCTAAAACTGAGCAATTACAAACAGCACTGATATTCAGCCGGTACACACAAGTCTGGGCACAGCAGTTGTGAAATACTGAAATACCCACTGCCACTGACCCTTAGCATCCAGATGCCCCCCACTGCCACTGCTCTCCTCCCTGGGGCACCTGGACCTCCCACAGGCTCCTAACTAAAGGGCTGACCACAGCAGGGAGCACCCAAGACCCAGCAGCCACATGGCCGGGTCCGCTGGTGAAAGCGTCCATCCTGACTGATCAGGTCCTACAGGGTTTCTGTGTTAAATATTTTGATAATATCCCTGATTATAAATAAGCCTCAATTATATAGTTGGAAAACAATTCTTCTCCTCATTTCAAAGCCTCTTAGAAGGCTCCATAGATCCAGGACGGAAGTGGAAAGTGACAGTGTGTCCACCTCTGAAGGTTTTGGGCATATCCATTAGCATTCCGCCTTCATGTAAACCAGAAGATACGCAGTTTCCTGCCTAGAAAGAAGAGAAGATGCATCAGCACAGCAGCATGAAAGCTTCATCAGAAAAGGATGCTTCATTCATCCATGATGGGACAAGTGTCAGCTAACATCCAGGCAGCTGGATCGGGCCTTTGTCTATCCATCACCTCGGAGAGGAACAAAATAGACGGCCTGGGAAGATAAGCACTAAGTTTCTGTTAGTTAATATCTAAAACAGAGGCTAACAAGCTCCAGGCACACAAGCCAAATCCAGCCCTGTCGGGTTTTTTAAATAAACTTTCAACTTGTATTTTAGATTCAGCGGGCACACGTGCAGGTTTGTCAGGGGTGTATGAGCATGGCACACAACAGTTAGTTTTTCACCCCCCGTCCCTTCCCCATCCAGTAGATTCCAGTGTCTCTTGCTGCCATCTTTAAGTCAATGAGTACCCAGCATTTAGCTCCCATTTGTAAGTGAGAATATGCACTGTTTGGTTTTTGATGAGACCGGTTCTTGCCCTGTCCCCAGGCTGGAGAGCACTGGCACAATAATAGCTCCCTGCAGGCTCGTGCTCCTGGGCTCAAGTGATCCTCCTGCCTCAGCTTTAGCTTCCTGAGTAGCTAGGACTCCAGGTGTGTGCCATTATGCCTAGCTAGGACTTTTAAATTTTTTTGTAGAGATGGGTCTTGCTTTGTTGCCAGGCTGGTCTTGAACTCCTGGCTGAAAGTGATCCTCCTGCCTTGGCCTCCCAAACTACTGGAATTAAAGGTGTAAGCCTACACCCAGCCTCCAAGCCCCTTCTTGGAAATAAATTTAACTGGCCCCCAGCCATGCTCATTCGCCCCAGTACTGCCTGCGGCTGCTTTTGCTCCACAGGGCAGAGTTCAGTGGCTGCAGCAGACACTGTACAGACCACAAAGCCTGAAGAACTTTCTCTCCAGCCCTTTACAGGGGAAGGCTGCCAACCTCTGATCTCAGTAACAGGGAAATCAATGGCAGCCACTCAGTGGCAGAGATTGGGTGTCTAAGAGGATGCTCAGAATAAACAGGAGAGAAAGATGAAAAGCAGAATGAAGATTTCAAACGCGAGCTTCATCTAATCCGTTACTTTTCAAATGACCAGGCCTATCTCTGTAGCTGAAAATCACCTCAGATAGCATTTCTGACGTACAACCTCAAAGCTCAGCTAAGAAAACTTACAAAGTCTCTCTGCTTTAATTTCATCCAGCCTTTCTCTCTCCAGCTTCTCCTCTGTGGTCATTGGTTATAAACATATTTATTGATACTTACTAATGCAAGCCAAAGAAATACGAAAAAAGTCATCCTTCCCCCAAAAGAGTTCATAGTCTAATGTTATAGCAAGTTATGTAAGCAAACAATTTTAAAAACCAGTGGCCGGGCACGGTGGCTCACACCTGTAATCTCAGCACTTTGGGAGGCTGAAATGGGCAGATGGCTTAAGCCCAGGGGTTTTGAGACCAGCCTGGCAACACAGCGAGACTTCATCTCTACAAACATTTTTTTAAAATATGCCAGGATGGCCGGGCACGGTGGCTCACACCTGTAATCCCAGCACTTTGGGAGGCCGAAGCAGGTGGATCATGAGGCCAAGAGCTCGAGACCATCCTGGTCAACATGATGAAACCCTGTCTCTACTAAAAATACAAAAATTAGCTGGGTATGGTGGCGCGCACCTGTAGTCCCAGCTACTCGGGAGTCTGAGGCAGGAGAATCGCTTGAACCCAGGAGGCGGAGGTTGCGGTGAACCGAGATCGTGCCATTGCACTCCAGCCTGGGTAACAAGAGTGAAACTCTGTCTCAAAATAAAAAATAAAAATAAACAAAATAAAAAAATCAAATCAAATGAAATCAAATCAAATCAAATATGCCAGGCGTGGTGGTGCATGCCTGTAGTCCCAGCTATTCAGAAGGCTGAGGTGACAGGATCACCTGTGCTCAGGGGTTCAAGGCTGCAGTGAGCTCCGAACACGCCACAGTGCTCCAGCCTGGGCAACAAAGCAAGACCCTATCTCTAAAAATAACATTTAAAAAAACAGTTGTGATCTTTGCTTTAATATTCCTGGAGTGTGACTTGTGAGACAAGCGGAGGAGCGAGGTGAGTGCTGAAGATGAGGCGGACCGTGAGCCGTCAGCATGTCAATCACAGGGGGATCCACGGGCATTTCATGCGGCTCCAAGGACCCTATATGAGCTCATCGGGCTCCCATTATCCAAATACGTTTCTTACCAGTGGTAGTTAGGATTTCCGTAGGTACACTGGATGTCTTCCCAGGACAACTGGAAGCTGGAATCAAATGAGGTTAAGCAGCCACCAGCTGACACTTGTGAGCACCCACAGAGGACAGGGGGCTAGAATGTGCTCCTCATCCTCCAGACAAGCCCACTTCTAGCAGCTCCCAAGAGCCTGGAGTATCAGCGGCAAGATGTCATGGGCAATGAAGTCTTTCTAGGGCCTTTGTCCCTGTGTTTAAACCTGGTCATGCTTATCCCAGATCCTAACTTACACATTTCTAACTCTGCTTGCTCTCTAGACATTTCCCACAAAGCATGAAGCTACAGAGCACGAGCCTAGGGCACCAAACACTTAGAAGTGGAGGGAAGTGAACAGAGGTGCAAACCACATGGGGACTCCAGGCCAAAAAAGGCTTGAACTCTCATAAAAGGCCCCACACCCAGACAATGGGTCCACGGTGTGTTGATCTCGGAGATCCATGCAGCCCAGGGCCCAGCATTTGTTAGAGGTGGCCCATCCCAGGCAGGAGGCAATTGTGGATGACATTTGTCACTGAGCAAATATTGGAGTCATTGAAGCAGAACCATTTTCCATACACAGCATTCCGGATGTAGGCACAGTAATGACCAGAGTCCGCCATTCCCACGTGTGCAACCACAGCGAAGAGCTCATACTGCCCCCCAGGCTGGAAAGAGACGGGCACAAGACACTTCACCTGCCACCACAAACACGACGGCACCACAGCTTCATACCTGCCCACCCTAGGCCCGACTAAGGGACTTCAGAATACAAGACCACAGTCCCAACCCATGGCCGGTGGTCACCTTCCAGGAGGGACTTTCCTGAGTGCGGATCCTGAACTGCAAAGGCTCAGCAGCTTGGCAGAGCAGAGCACACAGGAGACAGAAGGTGGGAGGTCATGACACAGCCCCCAAAGCCAGGCACGATTAGAACCTCCCCATGGGAGGGGTGGGGGTCATCAGAGCACAGTTCTGTTTCTCCACAAGCCCAGGAGTATCCGTAACCTGAGCCACTGTACACAGCCAAAAAAGTCTTTGTAGGGGGAGGGGACACAGAGGGCAACGGCGTCACACGCAAAGCTCAGTCACCCACAGGGCAGGTTCCAGTTATCCCCTATTTCCATTTGCGGACCTTGTGCTGGACTTTATAAAATGCAGGGCAATATCTGTACCTGAATATTAGTTTACAAGAAATAAAAGGGTTAGAGGAACATGTGGAATGACACCAGCCAGGCAGTTCTGGCATATTTAAAAAGTCTTCAACGAAATTAACTGCAAGGAAAAGAAAAGCAACAGAAATCTAAAGGGAACTTAATCAAGAAAAGAAAGAAACTTAAGCAAATGCAAGTGTAGGCATTGTTTGCATCTCGATTCAAACAAACCACATGGATTCTAGAACAGTAGCGACGTCTGCACGTTGACCAGATATTTGATGCTATCAAGGGATTACCACATGGACTTGGTTACGTTTTCGGTGTTTATTCTTTACGGATGCATAACGAAGTGTTTACAAATAAAGTAGGATGGTGTCTGGGTTTTGCTTCAAAAAAATCCAGCACAGGGTTGGATGAAGCAAGAGGGTCGTTTATAGGAAAAGCAAGACCTGCCATGAGTTTTGTAATGGTCACAGCTGGGATTCACTGTCTAATTCTTCACTAGACACTCTGGTATATATTTGCAATGTTCCATAATAAAGCCTTTGTTATTGCAAAGACAGAGTCTTGCTTTCTTGTCCAGCTGGGCTCTAACTGCTGGACTCGAGCAATCCTCGTGGCCTCCCAAAGAGCTGGGATTACAGGTGTGACCCACCACACCCAGCCAATAAAGTCTTCTTAAAGAGAAAAACAATTTTAAATATACTTCATCAGGCAGAATGTGCAGGTAGAAATATAAAGAACTAGAATGAAAGAAAAAGAGAATCCTGTGAAATGTATATGGTCTAAGTAGGTAAAGAAGCCTTGTTACAATAGGAGCTACGTCAGGCCTTAATTTCTAAATACCATGGTTCTAAAGCATAAAGAGCCCAACAGACCAAAAAAACAGAAGAGACCCTCCTAAAGTAGACCCACACTTGTAATCCAAGCACTCTGGAGGCCAAGGTGGGTGGATCATCTGAGGTCGGGAGCTCAAGACCAGCCTGACCAACATGGTGAAACCCCCATCTTAAAAAATAATAATAATAAATAAATAAAGACATGCAATCAGGAAGAGGAGAGTGGGAGGGGTCTAATCACCATGAGGGTATTCCCAGGCCCCAGGATGCGCTCCGGGCCGCTCTCGCTTCCTCTTCATGTTGCTGTCTGCTTCCTTCTTTCCAACAGGATCTGCTGGGGACCGCGGAGACTCAGCCAGGTTTGACTGACAGCTTTGTCCCAGGAGCCCAAACGCTTTGCCCATTCGTGATCACTCCAAAACCCCAGGCCGCAGCTGCTGGGCCGATGTTCAGGACGGCACCACCTCACTTCTAGGAAGAGCGCATGGGAGTGAGCCAGGCACAATGGGATCGCTGCGAAAACACAACGCGGGTAGGTAAGGATTCGAGACCGGAGAATGTGTATGTATTCATGTATCTGTTCTGATGCGAAAGATCCAGGTCTTAGCTGGAGGTAACTGTCTGAGGAGGCTGACGCATAGAGCTCTAGGTTGGAAATGACAGGGAGGCTACACATCCGCTACCCTGGTTCCCACGCGTTTCCATTCGTTCTTCCGCAGAATGGACTGCCAAACCCTAACCCGGAACGCCCTCTTGGGGAAGGACAAGGAAGCCCGCATAGGACTTTGCTTTGCAGCCCAGGATCAGGCCCACTTCAGGAAAACCCAGCACCGAGCAGAAACTCAGCCCCTGATGCCAGGCTGGCACCCACAGAGGAAGCCTCTCCACCCGCCCCACACTGGAAGGGAAACTGCGGCCCTGCAGGACAGACTTGTGTTCAGGCCGCATCACTGCCATCCGGCTGCAGCAGTCACAGGCCTCAGGTAAACCTCAGCTCCAGGCAGGCGGTGGCACCCGCAGGCCTCA